AAAGCTCGCGGGCGCCGGTGCAGAGCTCGCGGGGCCGCCCGGAAAGTTTGTTTGATGATGGCTTGAGTCGGCGTGCGTGCGGGGAGCGAGGCCGCCAAGTTCTCTCTCCCGCGGCGTCCTTTGGAGGGAGACGTCTCTCCCATGAGCCGGCGGGGGCTCGGGGGCTGTGCTGCGGGGGCACCTGTCTCTCGCGTTATTATTTTTGTTTTGGGGGGAGGAGGGGTGTGACTCGTCATGTCGAAAGTGATCCAGAAGAAGAACCACTGGACTAGCAAGGTTCACGAATGCACCGTGAAGCGGGGACCCCAGGGCGAGCTGGGGAGGGGAGCTGCTGCTGGAGGTGCAGGGGGTCCGGGTGTCCGGCTTGCCCCGCTACGACGTGCTGGGCGTCCTGGACAGCTGCAAGGAGGCCGTCACCTTCAAAGCCGTCAGACCAGGTAAGGCGGGACGCGCCTCGGGGAGGCTTCCTGAGGCGGGCGGCGGCCTGCGGAGCGCACCCCGTCCCCTCTCCCCGGGGGGGCATCTCGATTTCCCGCTCCCCCCCTCCGAGCGCAGTCTGGAGGGGAAATTGAGGCCGTGCGCCCTGTCGCGGAGAAATACACAAAGTTGTGTAGAGGTTGCGGGTTGTTTGCTCACCTGCCTTGGGAAGAGGGTTGGGTTTGCGCCTGTTTGCCAACCTGTTATCTCGGCCACTCAGTGCAGCGCAGTTTCGCCTGGGCCTGGAGGACAGTCGCCTGGGCCTGGAGGACAGTCGGGGAGCTGAGGCTGGGGGCACAGTGGAGGCTCTCCTGGCTCCTTGGGGGAGCGTTGCCGCAGGCGCAGCGCTGCGTGCTTTTGCCACTTGTCTGTCCAGACCTGGAGAATGGTATGAACGAGGGCAGGGCCAATTGGACCTTCTCCATTAGAAAATCATCTTTACCCCACAACGCTCCGGGTGGGTTGGGGTGCCCATGTTCCCGGGCCATTCACTCTGCAGCTGGAGGACGCACGTGTCTCCTGGTGTGGCTCAGCCCGAAGGCTTTGGGGGCGGGGAGCTGGAGGAGGGAAGGAGGGGTATGTCCCGCTTGGGGCCAATCAAGCCCAAGTTGATGCTGCCACTACCATCTCACCCATCACTGCCTCCATCACCCCCGATGCTGAGGATAAGGATAGCTATTACTCATTATTAACTTACTATGTGCCAGACTCAGTAAAACGCTTTCCTTGCATTATCTGGTTCTGAGTCACAAGAATCCTTATAAACCCACATTACAGATGAGGAAACTGGGATTGACATCCCTTAAGTTACTTGCCCAGGGTCACACAGTTACCAAAGTGAGGGTTTGAGCCTTGGCTGTAGAGCCTTAAGCACTGAGGCGGGAGAGGTGGGGAGCTGACCCTTGGTGAGGGGAGAGGCTGCCTTGTGAGGAGGGAGCGGAAGCAAGTCCCTCTCAGAGTCTGTAGAGGAGTGATGTCCTGCTGGTGGAGGGGAGTCCCTTACCTGCTGGAGTTGGTGAGGGCAAGGGATTGTCCAACAGCGATTCCCCAAGGCACCCCTGGGACTACCCGTGCCTGACGCAGTTTCTCTACCATGAAAGCTGCAGGAAGTGGCAGAGTTGCGTGTGGTGAAAATGCCCCTGTGTGCCTGCTGGTCTGGAGGGGCAACAGCAGTTGGAGGACCATGCAAAGGGAAGAAGGGCTGCTGGTCCTGCCTGGTTAACAGGCCTGTTCCAGATGAGACAGGAGGGGGCCAGACAGAGTAGAGGGGGTGGGGTGGGGGGTGGGGCGCTGAGACCAGGCGGAGTAGACCCAGCCTTTTAGTTTTGGGAGCCGAGGGGTGACAGTCCTCGAAAGCTCCTTCCATTATGTCCTCTCCTTCTTGGACACCTTCTCCAAGAAGCCCTCCAACAACCATCCAGGATGAACAAATCCTTCCTCCTCTGAGGTGCCCTAAGGCTGTACCTCTTAGTTTTTTCTTTGTTCTAACCCGTGAGTTAGATCTCTCACCTCATTTCCATACAAGGTAGTGAGCCCATTGAAGGAGAGAGTGCTTCATTCATTGCTTATCTCCCCAGGCTTTGCTTGAGGGCCAATTCCTGGCCTCACCAAAACTGGCTTTTTTGAGGGTATTCCATAAGCTAATAAGCAAAAAGTATACAGAACAGTGCCTTGCACATTGAAAGTGTTCAATAAAAATGAGCTATTATTGTTATATTTAAATCGAATTTGAGCAGTTATTTATTTCTAAGTCTAGCTGTTAATGTTAGTTACCTGGATTGTGAGTTTCTTGATAGAACTGTAGAGGACATACTGTGTGAAAGCATTTAATGGGAGCAGCTACCGGTCTCAGTTCAGGGCATTTTGGGGAAAGGGGTGCCATCTATCTAGTTGGGGACCTGCAGGTGTCCATTGGGTTCTGTATGGGAGCTGTTTTCTGCATCATGCGGTGTGTGGCTGAACCTCTTCCACGAGTTAGCAGAGGTCCTGGAGGCATTGTCCCAGCCAGGGCTGCCTCATCCTGGAACTCCGGAAGGGTTGGTCAGATAATCAGGTGTGTTTGGAATCAGACTTCTCTGGGTTGGAAGAAGATGGTAGTGTCTCCAAGTGTTATGTTGTTCCCTTCACCCAGAACCATTCCACGTGCAGCACAGGACTGTCCACAGCAAGTGTGTGTGTAAATATTCTAGTCCTCCTTGTGGTGGGATAGGATAAGGATGTGGATGGGGACTCTTGATTGGCCTGGAATCTGCTACAAAATGAAAGCTACTTCATGTGATAATTACACGGACATAGTTAGCTCTTTAACATCATTAAAGAAACTATGGCACTAGAGAGCATTTCCCTGATCTTCTGATCCCTCTTTTATATTGAGAATATGATTTAAATTATGCCAGGATTGCGCTTACTGGGCCTTGATTACTGTGTTTTAATCATATTAGGTAGGCTCATACTTGGTACATGGAAAGGAAAATGTTGCTTTTGTGTTGTCTGCACCCTGAGCTAGCCACTCCCAGGGACATGGGCCACTGTGGGTGCTGTCTGTATGGAAATGTCACTGTCTTCTTGTGGAAGAAAATTCTGCTGCTTCTATTTCATGGTAGGTCTCTGGAAATATGCACAGACCAAAATAGTCTGTAGCAAATGGTATTATATGAAGCAGGCCTGGATTGTGAAGGAATCAATCTAAATGGATCTACCAGGTTGGAGTTAATTCATTTTATTTTTATTTATTTATTTATTTAAAAATATATTTTATTGATTTTTTACAGAAAGGAAGGGAGGGGAATAGAGAGTTAGAAACATCAATGAGAGAGAAACATTGACCAGCTGCTTCCTGCATCCTCCCCCCGCCCCCACACCCCTGCCACTGGGGATGTGCCCGCAACCAAGGTACATGCCCTTGACCAGAATCGAACCTGGGACCCTTCAGTCTGCAGGCCGACGCTCTATCCACTGAGCCAAACTGGTCAGGGCTGGAGTTAATTCATTTTAAAGGGAGAAATGCCTAAAAAATTTTACATCTCTATGCTATATGAGTGTTGTTATTATTATTTTTAATGTATGTATGTATTTATGTTTTTATTGATTTTAGAAAGAGAGAGAGAGAGAGAGGGAGAGGGGGAGAGAGAGAAACATAGATCGCTGCTTCCTGCATGCCCCTTATTGGGGATCTAGCCAGCAACCTGGGCATGTGCCCTGAATAGGAATCAAACCAGCAACCTCTCAGTGCATGGGACAGTGTTCAACCAAATGAGCCACACTGGCCACGGTTAAATAAATGTTATTTTATATATATATTAGAGGCCCAGTGCATGAAATTCATGCAGGGGGAGGGTGTCCCTCAGCCTGGGCCTTCACTGTCTCTAATCTGGGACATCCCTCTCACAATCCAGGACCGCTGGCTCCTAACCACTCGCCTGCCTGCCTGACTGATTGCCCCTAACCATTTCTGCCTGCCAGCCTGATCACCCCCTAACCACTCCCCTGCCAGCCTGATTAATGCCTAACTGCTCCCCTTGGGGCCTGATCGCCCCCACCTGCCCTCCCCTGCCGGCCCGATTGCCCACAACTGCCCTCCCCTGCAGGCCTGGTCCCCCCCAACTGCCCTCCCCTGCCAGCCTAGTCACCCCCAACTGATCCTCCCCTGCTGGCCTGGTCGCCCCCAATTGCCCTCCCCTGTAGGCCTGGTTGCTCCTAACTGTCCTCCCCTGCTGGCCTGTTTGCCCCCAACTGTCCTCCCCTGCCGGCCGGATCGCCCACAACTGCCCTCCCGTGCCGGCCATCTTGTGGTGACATGAAGGCATCGCGTGAGGGCACGAGGACCACCTAGGGTTTTATTAGTATAGATAATAAAGCATATATGTATACTTTATAAGTATATATTTACCTATAGTAAAACTAGTGACTTGGTGCATGGATTCATGCACATTGAATGGAAATTAATTAGAAGGTGGCCGGCAGGGTGGGACTGGGTGAGATGGGCTGGACACGCCCTGGAGCCAACCTCCCGCTGTTCCTCCTCCCCAGTGTCTGCAGAGTGAGCGGGTCCCTCTGGCAGGTGGGGTCTCTTGGCCTGGCCTGCAGGGATCAGGCTGAAACTGTTTCTCTGACATGCCCTGAGAGGTCCTGGCCTCTCATGAAGATATGGGGGCACTCAAAAATACTAAAGAACTTCCAATTATAACTCATTTCCACTAATATTGTAAGAGAACTATCCCTTTGGCCATCTCAGAGATTCAGATCTGAGAAAACCAGAAGGAATTCCTCAGCTAGGAAACTAAAATATATCTTAAGCTACCCAAGAAGAGTTACACGTGCTTAAGAAGTAACCAGACACCCAATCCAGTCAGCCTCAGAGCCTCTCTGTGTCACCAAGTAGATTCAAGAAAGAGTTAAGTTTTTCTCAAATGCCATCTCAAGAGTCTAGGACAGTGATGGTGAACCTTTTGAGCTCGGCGTGTCAGCATTTTGCAAAACCCTAACTTAACTCTGGTGCCGTGTCACATATAGAAATTTTTTGATATTTGCAACCATAGTAAAACAAAGACATATTTTTTATATTTATTTTATATATTTAAAAGCCATTTAACAAAGAAAAATCAACCAAAAAAATGAGTTCGCGTGTCACCTCTGACATGCGTGTCATAGGTTCGCCATCACTGATATAGATGCACACTTTTAAGTATATTGTTTGCTGAGTTTTGACCATTGTATATGCTCATGTTATCTTCACCCAGATCAAGATACAGAACCCCAGAAATTTCTGTCATGTCTCCTTCCAGTTAGTTCCCCCTACCTTCCAGAGGCAAAGGCTGTTTGATTTCTTTCACCAGGAATTACTTTTGTCTATTATTGAAATTCACACAAGTGAAATGATGCAGTATGTACTCTTTGTCTGGCTTTTTTCACGCAGCAAAATATTTGGAGATTTCATATTATTGTGAGCATCATTGTTCCT